TCATGGGAAACTTTTCATATCAAAAAAGCATATATATACAAAGCTTTTTAAATACAAACTGCAGCTCGATGATGCACAGAAGATTTGAGACTGTAACCGGTATAAGATTCGCAAGTCCATGAACAGTTATCAAGCGCCGGGTTAAACGTGTAAAATGAATCTACCCATAATCCTTGTAGGCCTCAGCTTTATAGCTTTTCAGGTGACCAACTTTATTGAAATAAGTGTATAAAAGCAGTAAAATATTCTGAATACAAACATAACTGTGACAAATATCAATTGAAAGCTCAAAAAAGGAAAGCTGAACGAAACACCCTTCCAAACATTAACTGGAAAGATGAACACGAAGTCAAAGCTCTGACAGCAAAACAACTAAAGATCTACCTCAAGCAGAACAACCTAAACGTATATTAACAGGAAATAAAGCTTAAGCACGTGTCCTTAATTTTGCTCTTGCTGAAACACCTAGGGATGAAAGTATTTTAGTAATACAGAATTCCTGTCCAGTGCCTTCCAAATACGCAATCAGATGACTCTGAAATGGACGGTTTTGTTGAACATTCTTATGAAGTACTATTTGTTGCAGACGAGGACATCGAACAAGTAAGCACAGGCTTGTAATAGCATGACAACAGGTATTCACATAAAGACATTTCTAATTGAAGAATGGCAATCATTGGGGGGGGGGGGGGGTCAGCGTTATTTTTAACATAAAAATGGGAGAGGGTAAGAACTAAAAATTTTGTTTTTAAGGGGGGGGGGGTACTGCCTAATCTTTTGATTGATATATCTCATTTTTCAGACCCCCCCCCTCCCCTCTCCTGATAATCATTGCACAGTCCCTTATACGTTTTACATGCAGACTTGTGCATAATTTATTTAAAGTGTATATGTGTTATAGTGGGAATCGAAAAACCGTGACGGGCACCTACAAAATATTACAGGAATGTTTGTTGTTTGACCAATCACATTTGACTTTCTAACATTACATTAACGCTTCTGATTGGTTAAGAAACATTATTGAAATATTTCTTGTGTTTTTCCGTGCTAAACGAGCGTTTCCGCGCCCCTTATTTGGCAAAAGCAGCCAGATTCGTATCGAAGTGTGTCTGTTTAAAGTACAGCATAGAAGTATTCAGATACATTAAATGTGGTCCATACTTCTGCGGGTTGCGCTGTAATAGTCACAAAATAAAAACTTCTACTCAGTAATAATTTTGATTATATTTCATGGATTAAGTGTTTGCGGTGAGAATAAACTAAGACGCGACACAGATAACACAAATTCAAAGTAGTTAGAATAGCCAGAAATTTATTGGTATATACTGTTTTTGAAATAATGACAGGGCAGGAAATTCAACCTTATTTGGCTTAAGGGTCGTTTAGATCAACTGATAGATGAGAGAATTAACCAGTGGGGTATTTACAGGGGCTGTGCCATTAAGGACATGTTTATAAGCAGTCAGGGAGGGTACTCTAGTAATAATAACCCTCCAAAGCAGGGTCAATATAGATAGCTTGGGTTTACGACAGACAACAAATATGTTCTATAGCTTTAAAGTTATATTAGTTTACTTATTTCAGGAGGAACCTTCTGTAAATCAAATCGACGTTGGTTATCATTTATAAAGATTATTTTTTTAAAGATGAAGCGAGATTAAAGAAATAGAAAACGCGCGCGCGTGCTGTGTGGAGTTATAAAGCACGCGGGGTTGATAGAACACGGACGAAGTGTTAGGAGAAGCACGACGCGTAGCGGAGTGCTTCTCGACACTTCTCGAGTCTTCTGCCAATCCCCGCGTGCTTTATAACTCCACACAGCACGCGCGCGCGTTTTCTATTTCTTTAGTAAAATGCAAACGGTGCGTACGCGTGTGTGCTCTCATATAGCACGCGCTCCCAACCAATCAGAATGCGAGATTTATAACAATGATTTTATAATATGAAATGGTAGCCCTAGTACCCAAATAAACTGTATGGTAAGGCATCTTGCCGTTAACAAGATCACTGCCAAACAAGATACATTTTTGACTTTATTTTGCCTGTTTTAAATATTGCGATTCAGTAGGCATTCATTAATTATGATAATGGCTAAAGTTAATAAAGTAATTTGTGAGAGATCGACAAAACATAAAATTAAGATTGACCCAAGAAGGCGGGCTATCCCTACCCATGAGATTAAAAGGAAAACCTAAGCCCGGTCAGAGCTAGAAGTGCGACCCTATCAAATAGTTAGATATCCCTACTATTAGAATAATAAGCTTCCTCATTGTAAATAGGAACTTAATGTAGGCCCAAAATCACTAGCCGTTTTGCCGGCAATACAAACGTTTTGGAAATAGCACGCGTCCACCACTGGGTGTTATGAAGACTACAATAACAGTTTTGACCAGAAGAAGTGGTAAGACTACGTACAGGCGCATGAACAAGGGTGCTGTACTTAATTCGCGGGACAACCAATAAGATTACAGTTAGCGCGCATGCTCGTTTAACACCTGTCGATCTAATATATTTTATAGTTTTCTGCTGGCTGATCCTTCATTAACCTACACGTAACAGTTTGTTTTTATTTTGGACTTATTTAATTACGATACAATGGATACCTTCAACTTCAAGCTTTCTTGGCACCTCAGGCTCCTAGCTAAATAAGCCGGCTGATATTTTTGACACGCACTTGATAGCGTGCGTTCAGTCCTGTATATATCTCTGTCAGTTTTAGCAGAAGCATCCACATACGAACATTAAGTTACAATAAGCCAAGTGGTTGAGTAGCAAAGGATATTAGAAGAAGAAGAAGTACAATAATCGAACTTGATGGAAGGTGTTTTCGGCCACCAGATGTCGTAGCATCCATGGTAGGAGGCATCGAGCAAGATCCTTTTTTCATCTTCGGTACATAATGATTCCAAAATGCCATTCTATTGGGATGGTATTTATAGGCTATTTCTGGTTGGCTCGTAACGTCCAAGTAAGCACCGTTGTCTGGGGTATATGCCGTCCATCGAAGATCACCTGACAATGGGTCTGGGGTGCCGTATTTTGCAAAATTGGCATATCTACTCATTATGAAGTGGCTTATATTGCGGTCTTTATCATCGAACTTGTCATAAGACATGTTGGTAAAGGGACCTCCGAAGCTATAGTCCACATTTCTACCGTGATATACCCACGGTAAATCTTGACGCGCGCTGGACAAGTATTGATAGTGGAACAAGTAGGTTTTCGAGTGTCTGGAGTGAAAGTCGGCTGCTTTGAATGACGGTGCAATTATATAATAATCGGTTAGCATTTTCACCAGCCCTTTCATTAGAGACGCAGCATTGCCAATATTATACCATGGATAATACTGAAATTCGAGCGCGTCTGCCATTTGTTGAGCTACCATTGGTTCTTGGATGTCAAATAGTTCTTGTATTGACCTTTCTATTCCCTTTCGGAATGTGTTATCATTCAGTGGCGACTCTAACTCAAGAGCACGAATATTGTGGTGTCCTTCATGTTTAGTGAAGCCGATAATGACGGGCACCCTATGGAAGAGCTTTTTCTTCCTAAGATTTTCAGGTGTGTCCGTGAGATAGTAGTTATCTAGAACAGGTGCCGGGAACTTCTCGTAGTAAAATGAGATATCACTGGCATCTTTAGACCGAAGGCATTCTATCAATGTTGTGCTGTTTTCCGTATCGCATAGCAGTTTACGGCCAACATTCTTCGTTTTTTGAACGGCTTCTTCCAGTGGCAAAAAAGCAAACGGGGACAACTCGACTCCACTCTCCATTATTGCTCCCTGAAAAAGTCCCTTTGTCATTGGCGACATGAGATGAAGGCCAACACTTGCCCCGCCAGCACTATTCCCAGCTATAGTTATCCTTTTTTTGTCTCCACCAAATTGAGCGATATTTTCATTGACCCATTTCAAGGCTTCCACTTGATCTAAAAGCCCATAATTTCCAGGTGCCGCTGCGTCCCCAGTGGTAATGAACCCGAAGGGACCTAATCGATATTGAATGGTTACCAGTATGATACCATACGAAGGTAAAACATCGCCAATAGTTTTATCTCGGGCTGGAGTACCCAACAAAAAACTTCCGCCATGGATGTAAAATAACACCGGGTACAACGAGTTATTCGGCTTGGGCGAGAGTACGGTTGCCGGTGTGTAGATGTTCAAAGTCAAACAGTCCTCGTTGACGTTTTCGTACGTAAAGCCAGGCCAAACTGGCCTGATGGACTTTATCAAATAGGCTAAATACGTTTTACTGTGCTGGCAGATGTTTCCAAATTGTCGGGCGTTAAATAATTTAGGCTTCCAGCCTTTATGTGGTCGAGGAGGTTGAAAACGTAGTTCCTTTACAGGCGCTTGTGCGTACGGGATTCCGAGGAACTTGTGAATTCGTTTGATAGGTCCTTGTGCTAAAGGTATACCTTGACTCTCTCCTTGAATCTGTCCATATTTCGTGCTTACCACGATAGATTCATATGATTGAGACGACAACACGTGTAAACAAATGATGAGCGAAATCTCCAGCAAAATTCGAACCAACCAAGCGAAATCCATTCTGGAGACTCAAAAATTGTAAAGAAGTTTCAACGATGAGATGAATAAGCAGATTTGGTCGTGGCTTTTTGGCCTGAATGATGGCAAAACTGGCTCAGGTTTGGCAGAACGTCTTGGCTTGTTTTAAGGAAGTGTCGAATGAATCAGTATACCTTCAGATCCGCTGTATTACGTATATTAATTGAGGTTAAGCCAATGTTAAAATACATCATCATATGCGGTGTAACCACACATTAAAACCCAAGCCGTCCAGCCCTTGACTCTTTTATTGAATAACCATCGTATTGACATGACTAACAACCACTAAGAATTCGTCAATAAAGCACCACCGAAAACCGAGATTGCAAGAGAAGATTATAATCCACTTTGGAAATCTAAGATTTATTAACAAATTCAAGGGGTCATAACCCACGATCAATAAATAAAGTTTTGAACACTGACAAAATAGTTCAGAAATTCAAAGAATTTGTAGACAAGAACTCATGCGCGTAATGCAAATAAGGTTCCTTTCCATGAAGGAGAGATATTTGACACAGTTGTCTTCAACACATCAGTGCTTTGCCCGTCAAGGCTAAATTGAGCGCTCGACTAAACAAATAGTCATCAAAATAATCCAAATAAAAGATTATTTGAAAATTATAAAGCAATTTCAGTAAGTAGTTTCAGGATTGTCTTGTGAAAATACGAAAAAGGACACTCGATTTGTATCAATGGCTAATGGCATTCTCGGACCAATACAACAGCGAGAATCACTAGGTGTTCAAACAGGGTTTTTCAGAGGACATAGATTCAATTTACTGTGTTTTTATTCTATTCAAACAGGATGATTAACTCGATTGAAATGTGTTTGTCTGAGGTGTGTCAGGAAGAACAGGTGGTGCAATCATTCCAATGAAAGTCGCTTAGGAAGTATTTTGAAGAGCCAAGATATATGTATCCAGTCCAGCATCGATGCCCAAACATTAACCCAAGTGGCTGACAACTAGCTACTTATAAACCTTTTCAAACACAAAACCGCACTAGCAAAAGAGCAGAAAAAGATCTCTAAATAACTCAATTTTCAGTTTCATTTTCAATTGATAAAAACATCAAATTTTAGAGCAAATGGTTTCAAGTCACAGCTTCGCCCGACAAACCAATATTGCAAACAGAAAAATAGAATCATACTGACAACTGATAAGATTATGAAATAAAGGTAGCACATGAATTAGAACTAAGTAGAACTATGCTCAATTTGTTCAAAATAATAGTTTTACTTAGGATATAAGTGTCGGATAATTTTAGGGAGATTGCAAAGCATCAGAGCAAGCCTGTACTTGAGAGCGTTGCATTATAGATATCATCTATACAAGGATTGCTCGGCTATCAATTTGGTTCTAAAACATTAGAACCATTCGTCATGCTAAACGAAATCTAATGAACGACCAACAGAGTGTATCTCAGAAATGATTGTCAGAGGCTAAGCTGGATCGTAAATGTATTTCCTGTGMTAAATTTTTTGCCTTTTAGCTTCCAATTCAGAGCCCCTGGGCTGTTTTTTTTCCCTTCAGTTGCTCTCGTGTAAAAGCACTTAAGACTTGCAAATCAATAGTTAGTGTCTTTTAGATATAGTCTTTCTGATCTGTTTGTGGTTTTGTAGAGTCTATTTTGACACGGTTTCCTCGAGCGCATCACTTAATTATCATACAAAACATTCAAAATAAAATTTTGAAATTCAATTTTCGACGACAGGCTTTAATTCTTGAATCATCTTTCTTGTTAATAACAGGAACTGTGAAATCATCAAGGCATATTAGTTTGCTTTCTTAGCTCAATGACGGTTTTAGTTTATAATTTTGATTCTCACCAGGGGACTCAAGTTAAGTCCATAGGGCCTCAGTTAATATGATTTTACACCGCCTCCGGCTGCAGCTAAAATCCCTGAAAATCCAGGATTCTATGATAGAGCCTAAATTCTTCCCAGTTGATTGAAATGGTGACATAGGTGCACTGCTTTTGGCAGAAAAAAAACTAACATTAACCGCAAGTACTGAGATGGCAGACCTGCGATAAAACCGGCGAACACTAGTCATGCACACGTACAGGCGTGTCCTTATCAGATAATAAACAGCCTAGAAAATGTCTAGTTGTGGTGATTACTCGAGCTTTATCAGTCGAAGATATAAGAGACTTGAGACGGAGGTAAATGCTCTTAGCACATGGTGTCCATGTACGCGCCCTCCATATGAACTCGATCTTGCATGTCAACACGAATAACTAATCAAAGCAGTCAATTGCTGTTTTTGTTCAGTGATTATTTTGGTTTCGAGAGAGAGCAACAGCTGTTGTTAGATATTCTACCTGCGTTTTCTCTTGTTCAAAAGAGGGTGGGGTTGATGGTGGTAGTGGTAGTGGTGGGGGGAGGGGG